TTATTTCTACGCACAGAGACCTTCTCAGTACATTTAAGCAAGAGACAGATCTTTCTTAAAATACTGTCAGTCTATGCACAGTAGGAGTGGTTTAGACTGAAGTGACGTCACGCTTACTCAAGCAGACCGTTTTACACTCACAGAGATGCATACCTTGCCTGTACATTCACGGGTGCTGTTTTGGAACAGCAGAAATTATGCACACTGACTGATCATAAAGGGATGCTCTGGTACCAGTATAAATTTACCTTCGTAAAAATTAGGGAGTTTTGTCATCAATCGATGGAACTGTAACAATGGCAGATCTAGCATTCACAAAAAGAGGGGGGGTTCACTACATTTGTGAAAGAGGGCAGGGCAGATAATGGTAGTAATTTCTGTCTTGATAGCTACAGAGGAAGCAAACAGGAGAGGACGAGGTATCTCCTTAAACCCCAAACCACAACATAAGGAGGAACACCCAGCGTGCTCCCTTCTCTGGAGTTTTTACCATACATGTACAAAACCTGCAGCAACCTCCAACAGTTGTTGAAAAGTGGAAGCTGCTCTTGAGATCTGAGGCACCAAATTACCACATGTGATATCAAAAAACTCCCACGTATTTCAGAATTAATAAGTAGTTTAAAAAAAGAAACCATCCGACCAAACAAATGCACGCAGAAAAATTGAATACTGGTTTGGCAGTAGTGTCCTATTTGTTGCGAGACACAAGCACAAGTCACATCTGATGACCAAAATCATGTTGACATAATCGGTATAAGCTTGGTATAAGCAAATGCTGTGAAGATTTCAACAATAAAACTAAGTCTACACACAAAGAAAACATTTTCTTCCACAAATATGACACTTCTCTTCACAAAGAAAACATAGGATTTTGTCAAAGTTATATCCAGTCAAGAAAGCGACTATAGAATACACTTTAGCTTCTGCTCAAACAAGTAGGTGAATTTCTTTTAGCTCCGCTACATACCAAGTTGCAGCAGTTCGGGTACCCATTCAGCAATAAAATGGGACCACTCACAACCGAACGACGATTACAAATACTAGTTGGGACTGACCTAAGTAGAATTGGCATCATTAACTTATTCAACCCTAACCATGCTGAACCCAACGATATCCAACAGTGGGCTCTTTCTGTGGGATTTTGTTGATGTGAGCAGTGAGCAAAAGGTATTTTGTTCAAGCTGTTGGATTCTGTTGGGTTCAGCAGGCTTCACATTTTCATAGCTCTTGGATGTTGTTGGATTAAGGAGGGTGACAGAATGGTTAGGGCAGGGTGTTAGGGTTAAGGCTCAACAGCTCTATTCTGATCCTATATCAAAGCCACAAACTTGAGCACTTACGGTGTGAGGATGGATTTGAGCATATGTTTCCAGTTCAAATGGGTGACGGGCATTATGCCAGCATTCAGGTACAGGAAGTCTATACTAGAATATCTAAAGGCAAAAGGAAAGATAAACAGAAGAGGACATGAACTCATTCCCATCTACCAAAATTGTACCTCAATTTCTCCATGTGATAAATAGCAAGCATGAATATTTAACATTTTAACCTTTTATCTCTACTTAGTTATTGAAATCTTTTTGATAACTTGACAGCTTTTCATTTAAAACATGAAATTAATGCTTTCTTCAAGGAACTGAACAGATTACAAATATGTGATCAATAAACATACATTCATTAACAAATTGACACTGCCTTGCCTCTGACTACTGAACTGATATATTTTTATACATCATTCTTCTGCCATTTTGACGAAGAATGGGGAAAACATGTACTCACTTTCTCTTGATTTTTTTGGCTGTTTCAAAAATCCCCTTGATGTCACTGGTGTCTAGTCGTACAAGGTCTATCCTTGCACTTGGGTGGGTGGTAAGTAGGGTCTTCTTGGCCTTGTCTGCCCTGCTGGGGTTGCGACAGGCTAAGCACAGGACAATACTTGGATCGTAGGTCAGAAGGCGGTCAGCAAAACTCAGGCCAATGCCACTTCAAAAAAAGGGGGCGGGGGAATCTGTTAGATTTATGTAGGAGGCTTGATTTGACTTGAAACCGGGACAAGTTTTAAAGACTAAGTGCTAAACTTCTAAAAAGAATTCCATACATGGTCATGATCACTGATTTTTTAAAACACTGACATGTCTGTCTTTAGAGGGTGAAAGTCAAATTTCGCAGAGAAAATATAGAGGTTATGCATTGTTGGTGCCTTGGAGGCTGTCCTTTGTTATTTTTAATTTAGTTACAATGAATGCACAAAAGATTTCCTTGAGCCTATCCTGATGATACAAAGCTCTGGCCCCGTAACTCTGCTTAAATGCATAACCTCTATAAACAAGACTGAAGTACATGTATTACTTAGAAAACACTTTTTCTGACCAGCCTTGTGGGGTTTGTGCAAAGAGTGTCCAGTGATTTCTAGATACATGTACATGTACATACATGTACATGTACACGTAACATGGAAATCACTTGACACCCTGCGCATAAACCCTATAGTATAAGACACATAAGACTGGTCTCAATATTTGTTTCCTCGAGCATGTCTAGGGGGCCTAATTACTTCGGAAAGAGTTTCATATCTTCACCAGACACCCCATGCACAAGGCTATGAACCTGGACTGATCACTGAAAAATTATAGGCCTATGTTGGTCATACTACTAGTAATGAGGCTTATTTTCTAAGTAAATGCTTTGAAAGTTTGATATTTTTCCTACTAAGTTAGCCTTTTCACTTAGAAAATGTTAACTTATGACTTTCTGTTGGCTGATATTTAGTGATAAACCACTGTAGGAAAAAAATTGTGAAATATGTATATGGCACTCTTCCCATCTCCCAAGTCTCGGGAGAGGCGTCGCGAATTTTCCTTTCAACCCATTCCACTGCATCTGGCCCAACAATACCACAATGCGGTGCCCGTCACCGGCCACATCAGCTGGGAACAACACCGCTTGACTTGGCCCGCGGCCTCGCCGACCGCACAAACACGGAACTTATTTTTCGGTCACATGAGGTCAGTTCTTTTGCAAAATGTACTCACGAATTTGCACCGGTGACGATTACGACTTTCGCCTCCTCTTTAGCCATTTTATTCGGTGTAATAAAGACAAGAATGCGTCCCCGGTTCGGTAGCATGCAGTCAATCACGTCCCCTCACTTGCAACGCGTGACACAGGCACTCTTGCATTTCACGAGCACTAGACCGATGCCATCAAACCAAACGCAATGCCTATGAAATTCACTACCCTGACGCCTGGGTACATGTTTACCAAGTCAGGACTTGAGGGCGCCCTGCCATGTGAATGGACATACCACAAGACATAAGAAGGGTGCACCACTGGAAATAAATTCCCATAGACAGCAGTGATAAATCCCCATACTTCACAAATATACTGATTTTAAAAATACTAACAACTCTCACAGGTATTCAGGCTCCACAGAAAAATAATGTTCCGCGAGTCCTCTTTCATTTTCCTTTCAATTTTCGGGGGGGGGGGTTGACCAATTAATTTTTCTAGTTGCTCAGAATTGGAAGCCCTGAGTCCGGCCCAGAGGTTCAGTCTCAACGGTTCTTCATTTCCCCAGTTCCACGACTCTCAGGACCCTCTAATATGGAATGTTTTGAGTCTATAACAGTTATCAATGAGCTCAGTGGACATATTTCTGGCCTAAATACGAGGGTGCACCCATAAATACTCACGGTCGGCCCGAAAGTTGGTTATAGCGCTGCGTAGTACTTATTAGCACTTGGTAAATTCCTTCTGAATTCTTCACCAGGGCAATTAACAATGAGGCCTTCAGGAGAGTGGAAACTAATTCAGTTTTGGTAATTACCACATCGTAGTTGTTTATAGATATTAGCAAAAACTGCTGATGAGGACTGACGGTCCGATGAAAATTGCTCATACCTTGGTGGCTCCCGGGAAAAAAATGTTGTTGAGAGATGGGTTCTCTCTTTGGCCTTGTATTTGGCTTTTGGGTATGACTAGAATCGATTGTGACAGTGTGATTTTGTAGTTATGCCACCTCTTTTTGGGGGGGGGGGGTGTCCCTATTAAAGGTTGTCAGCACTAGCCACATTTCTTGAAAAACATAATCTCGCAGCAGCCAGCCTCCTTTGAGTCCTCTCAAGAGATGATCATGATTCAGTCGGTAAGAATTCCAAGAAGCAGTGCAATATTCAAAGCATGGTCGCACAAGTGCCAAGTAGAATACATGTGGAAATTAATTATCATGATAAAATCGAGATCTAATGGTGTCTTGCTGACTGCATGATTTGTTGCTTCTCCCACACCCAGGTTGGTGAAATCTTTGGTTCCTTCAAGCATGCTACCGGATATTATAAGACATCGCACCAGGGTTCTTCTTTCGCAATATACGCATAGTTTTGCACTTATGTTGATACACATGCCCTAAGTCGCAGCCCATCTTTCCGTTATTCTGGTCATTATGGAAATGCCAGATATTCTGGCTCTGTGAATTAATGCATTCACCAGCAAACAGCCCGGACATCTGCTCCTCGTAACTCAGTGCTTTGTAGATGCTGTAAAATAGGAAAATAGGTGAGGTCAAAGTGGGCCTGCTGCTCCTTGGGGTACTGCACTTACATAAATGCCATACCGAAGATTTGCATTCGCCATTGAAAACTTCAAATGGTTACTAAGGAATGCCGAGATCCATGCTTTTATTTTCACTGTATTTTCATAATGGTTAAGCTTGTGTGAAAGCTTTAGCAAAGTCCACGAAAGCTAAATCTACGGGGACTATCATAGACTGGTGCGTAATTTCAGGCCGACAGCCACTTAAATTCGAACATCTTGGAGGATCCCAGTGCGCAAGTTCAGAATCCTTCCCTTACACACCCATATGAAGCAAACTATGGGACAGGGAGAACCCCCCACCTTTGTTTTGGTCTTTGTTATACTGGTATCTCAGGGATTCTTTTCAGACATCTTAGGGGGATGTGTTAAGTGACAACAGGCTGGAGTATGTATAGGGATTGGACTTGCTGGGGGGGTACCCCTCTGTCCCATTTCGTGCCTGGTATATACGCACCAATGAAAACAAGAATACCAATGCTAAAATGCAGTTTCCTCTCTGGGCATATTAGCCCGGGTTACGCCTATGCAATCATTTACAAGCTTTCGTGGAAATATTGGGTACGGCTAAGTTGGTTGCGTTGCATCGAGGAAAAGAAAAATGCATTGTGCCGCGTGTTCTGCATAATGTCCGTTGACAAAAATACATCTTTGCCAAGCTTTCAAAGTACCAGAAAAAATGAACTTGAATTGATCCCATCGCTCATCCATCGCTTGGGGGCGATCGATCTTGTTAAAAACCAAGGACAGTCTTTCATTAGTTTCTGTCATCTGAATTGACTTCATTGAAGATGCTTGGTCTGTTGGAATTGAATTGATTGCAAAGAGCTCATCCCTCCAAAACTACAACAATGCTACAGTTACATCTGTCACATGACGAATCTGGTCTAGACCTTGTGCAACAAGTTCGTTTAGGAAAAGAATGTAGACGGACAGTTTAAACCCGATTCCTGCAGTTGAAAATTCCGTACCTTGGTGAGTACTTGGCAATAAAGCTACGATTTCAAGTGTCGGCACCACGAAAATCTTTTGAAGATTCTCAGTAAGTACACATTACTAGTGAGAAAATAGTTTTGTTTAGTTGGCTAATATTCAGTTTAATCCCTTTTTTCAAGATGATACCTTCAAAATAAGCCTACTTGACAAGCCCGCTCGACCTGCACTAGAGTGGCAATTGATCGGCTACCTTTATCAACGTCTGAGATCACTTCCCGTCAAGCGACATGATGAAAGTGTTCCTCGTGCTGATGTACTTACTATGCAGCCAGTTGGTTACAGGCTCTACATACCGGGGATATGGATACGAAAAGGTAGTACTTGTTTACTATTGTGTGCACTTCGTGACAGAAATAAAGGTTATTGCGTCTTTGATATGTCGTTATGGGCTAATCGATCGTTTACGAGATAAGATAAACCACACTCCGATCAAATCATGGATCATCGAAGATTCCTTTGCAATAAGGTGGCTAACAATTGTAACTTTCTGTTCATGATGTAAATTCACCGAAAGAGAACAAGCAGAGTTTGTTATAATCTCACCGACTGGCGTAACTTCAGAGTGGGGGAGTGGGTAAGCGTAGCGGTTCTTTCCTCACTTTGCGCCAATGAGGCCCGGGTTCGAGTCCTGGCTTGGCCCAGGCTTTAAGTGCATTTGGTTTCCAGTCCATACTCGCTCTCGTAGGTTTTCTCCGGGTACTCCGGTTTCCTCCTGCCTCTAAAACTGAACCTTCTTCCTAACTCCGTAATGTGATGCTGGTTAATAAAGTGTATGAATAAACGTACAGTTATTGGCGCAAATAGCCTGAGTAGCTGAAAGCGTCATTAAAACAAAACAACAAGAAAAAGAAGTTAAGAGTGCCTCCCTTACTGTCCTTACAATGAGTTGCCCTTTTTTTCATTTTCAACTTCAGTTACAAGAGACAATAAATTCCATCAAAACTGGCAAAGCTGCAACTGGCGAAGGCAAGTTTTTAAATGACAATGTTCCTGAAGTTGTAACATGAAAAGTCTTTCGAACCCATCTTTTGTTTGAATTGGCTTTTGGGAATGGCTAATATGAGTTGTCGAAAAATTGAAGTTTCATAGAGACACTAAATCCGGCTACAGTCTTCAATTTATAACTCGCGGGATATCGCCAAATGATCCCCACTGACCTCTGCAAGTACGTGGTCAGTGGTCAGAGCGCAATTCACGGGGTGCGAGCAATGGTAACAGCTTCTCGGCACCTCGACTGTACTGTGAGTGCGAGACAGTATCGGCGCCTCGAGCTGAAGCGCACCCCCAATCGGCAAAAGAAAGACAGGTGGTTTACAAGCAGGTTCTTGCACGCGTTCTGCGTGTACGCAAAGACCACCCATGCATGCCGCGTACTCAGCGTGCTCCACGTCAAACGCGCATTATACTTGCGCGCCTATGCGGTGAGTACCAAAGATGCCCTCTTTTGTTCCGCTCGGAGCGGATACGGACGTGGTCAGGATTTTTTTCCCGGGCCATAAAGCACTCATCAGCAACAAGCAAATAACTTTGTAGGGGTGGGGTAAATCTTTAGGTATTTTCAAGCAATTTATTAATTTTACCCCCTTTCCTCGTTTTTTTGACTTTTCTGTCGCTCTCCTTTTCGTCCCCCTTTTTCCTTTTTTTCCCCGATAGGGAAGTGACCTGGTCCCCTTCCCCTCTCTTCGTGACACCCAGTGTAAACTAGTGTTGTTATGTATATTGTTACATCCCCCATGAACCAGAGGAAAGTAAACTTTCTCTGACGAATTTTGTGACGAGCCGGTACCTTACCACTAGAGTGTACACCCTCCAGCAAGACCAGATTTTAAAGTTCTACGCACTGCTCTGTCAGGAGGGACAATCGAAAGTTGTCAATGTGACTCTGCTTCTTATAAACAACCCCGGCTGGGAACCTGTCCGAGGCAGCGTGGAATA